GCAAACCAACACACCAGCACCACTACCATCACCAACACCGCCACCACCACCACCACCGCCGAAACCCACCACCACCACCACAAACCACCACACCACCACCACCACCACAACCACGACCACCACCACCCACCACCCACCACCACCACCAGCAGCACCACCACAACCACCAACACCACAGCCCACCACCACCACCACGACAAACCACCACGCCACCACCACCACCACCACCACCGCCACCACCACTACCACCACCACCACCTCCACCCACCACCACCACCACAAACCACCACAGAATCACCACCACCACAGTCACCACAACCACCAGCACCACAGCAACCTACCACCACCGCCAATCTACTACACCACCACCACCACCACGACCGCCACAAACCACCACACCACCACCACCAGCACAACCCACCACCACTACCACAAACCACCACACCACCACCACCACCACACAACCACCACCACCACCACCGCAAAAGACCACACCAGCAGCACCACCACCACCACCACAACGGCCACACCCACAACCTCACCACCAGAACAACCTACCAATTCCACCACAACCACAAACCACCACAACAGCACCACCATGTCCGCCACCACCACCGCCACCAGCACCACCTCCACAACCCACCAACACCACCACCACAGCCACCACCACCACAGCCACAAACCACCACACAACAGCCACCACCACCACCACCACCACCACCACCACCGCAACCCACCACTACAACCACCACCACCACCACAAACCACCACACCACCACCACCACCACACACCACCACAACCACCACCACCACAACAAACCACCACCGCCACAACCATAACGACCACAACACCACCATCAACACAACAACCACTACCACCACCACAACCAACACTACAAACCACAACACCACCACCGCCACCAACGCCGCCACCACAACCCACCACTACCACAATTACCACCACCACAACCCACCACCCACCACCGCCACCGCCACCACCACCACCACACCCTACCACCATAACCATCAGAATAATCACTACCACCAGCACCACCACCACCAACCACCAAACCACCACCACCACCACCACCACTGCCACAACCACCACCACCAACACCACCACCACAACAGCACACCACCACCACCGACTCAGAGAGGCCCCAAAAAGGAGCCCAAGAGGCGCCCAGGAGGCTTCACAAATGCTCGGCAGAGGCCCCCGAGAGCCCTCCGACGAGAACCCAGGAGGCTTCCATTAGAACTCTGACCCAAAACCAAGGCACGGTGGCAGAGCGTCTTCGTCGTCATCGTCATCGTCGTCGCCGTCGTCCTCGTCGACGCTCCCCGCCGCCGCCGCCAGCCGCCGCAGGCGCTGGCGCCAGCCGAAAAACGAAAAACGTCTTTTTCATCGACGTTCCCCTCCGCCACAGCCAGCCGCCGCCGACGCCGGGGCTCCGGCCCGAGGAGAGGGAGAGAGGGGGGGGTTCGAGCCCCCCCCTCCGTCACGGGAGAAGGGGTGGGAGGATTCGAACACCCCCCCTTTCAATCGAGGGGGGGGGGGGCGGGTCCGGTTCCAAACCCCCTCCCCTCCAAGCGCCCACAATACGCACTCTTTCGAAGATACTCGTAAGTACAATGTGTATAAAGCGGTTCAGCATGGCGGGAATAAGGCGGGTGCAGTAAGGTCGCCTTGAGACCCGTGTGACAATAGTCGCACTCTCCCGCACCCAGCAAAGACTGAAGACATCCCGTTTGAGTATCAAACGGGGGGCGAATGAGGAAGGGTGGAGGGGTGAAGGATGGCAGAAGGAATGATGAAAGGGTGACAATATTAGTCAAAATTGAATCGGGAAATCGAGTCGCATCGGAGCGTGCGCTGGATCAGGCAGCACCGGCACGAGATCGGAACCGAACCGGATCGACTGCGGCAGGCTGCGCAGCGGCGCCGTGCAGGCATCGGGCCGCATCGGAGATCGCCCGAACACTGGAATCGAATCGGATCGAGCCAGGCGAAGTATACGCATCGACCAGAATCGATCGGGTCGGAGCCCCCAGAAGTCTCGACCCACTCCCCTGGACCGGTTTTTCATCCCGAGCCGTTTTTCGACGGTCCCGAGGCCCGGCGAGGGCCCCTGGGGACCGAAATTTGCGAAAAACCTGTACTTTTCTGTTGCGGCAGACCTCCGTCTTGACTTTTTCAATGCGTTGGATCTCTGGGGAGGCCGGGCCCCCCCCCGAGCAGTGGGCGGGGCGGGGCGGGGCGGGGCGCGGCTCCAGGCCCAGGCCGACGCCCCCGTGCGGCGGCACCCCGTGGCGGAAGGAGTCGATGTACGGCCGGAGGGGCTCCGTGGGCACCTGGCCGAGAGCCCGGGGGGGAGGCGGACGAGGGCCCGGCCTCCTCCTCCTCCTCCTCCTCCTCCTCCTCCTCCTCCTCCTCCTCCTCCTCCTCCTCCCCTCCTCTCCTCCTCCTCCTCCTCCTCTCCTCCTCCCTCTTACAGCCACGCCTCCTCCTCCTCCTCCTCCTCCTCCTCCTCATCCTCCTCCTCCTCTTCCTCCTACCTCCTCGCCCCTCTCGCTCCTCCAGCATGCCATTCCTGTTGCCCCTCCTCTTCCCCTATCCATCTGCTCGGTTCTCTCTCTGCTGCTGAACAGTGAACAGCGAAGGCGGACCAGGGATGATGGAGGAAGAAGGTCTCCTCCGCCTCCTCCTTGTTGTCCTCCTCCTCCTCCTCCTCCTCCTCCTTGTTCTCCTCGTTCTCCTCCTCCTCCTCCTCCTCCCTCCTCGTCCTTCTGATCCTCCCACTCCTCCCCCTCCGCTTCCTCCTCCTCATTATCCGCCTCCTCCTCCCTCTCCCGATTCCCCTCCCTCTCTTCCTCCCCCAGCGGCTGCGAAAACACATAGGCAGATAGCTGGGCCAAACTGAGCTCCTCGTTGTACGCTTCTTGCGAACCCCATGGGGCTGCATCGGAAATCTTTGGGGCGTCTGGTCCCAAACTTCACGGACAAATCCGGCTGCCACCTTCATCAGGGGGGTCTTCTGCTAAGGTCGGCGGCACCGGCCGTAAGGCCTTCACAACATCTGGTTGCCATGCAGACGGCAGCGCAACTCAAAATAAACAACGTGAGGTCCCCGAGCTTGCTCCGTCAAGCGTGTAGCTGGATATGTGTGGAACCGAGAGAACGAAGGAACGGGCGAATGGGAAGAGAAACATGCCTGCGGGCTTGGCGAACATAGTGGCGGTCACAGGTCACACGTTACGTGCCGCTGCCTGCATGCTGCTGCAGACATGCAATGGAGGGAGGAGGGAGGAGGAAGGGGAGGGGGAGGAGGGAGGAGGGGGAGGAGGGAGGAGGAGGAGGAGGAGGAGGAGGAAGAGGAGGAGGAGGCGGAGGCGGAGGAGGAGGAGGAAGGGGAGGAGGAAGGGGTTACGGGGTTACGGGTATAGCGACAGTGTCGGTAACATCGGGACCGCTCGGCGCGGTGCGGCCTTCCCTCAGAAGGCACTCGAACGAAGGGAGCGATTCACCTCGTCGACGTTGATGCGATGGCTGCACCGAATGCAGAGAGACGATCTCCAACCTCGGTTCCGCTATCTGTCGGCGAGCGGCCCTGTGCAGGTACCCATTTCCATTTCTTACGTTGGGCGCGCCCCTCTCCACAAGGGGGAGGAGGAGGAAGGGGGAGGAGGAGGAGGAGGAGGAGGAGGAGGAGGAGGAGGAGGGGGAGGAGGAGGAAGGGGGATGAGGAGGAGGAGGAAGAGGAGGAGGAGAGAGAGAGAGAGAGAGAGAAAGGGCTTCCACGACCCTCGGAGGGCCCTGAAGGAGGAGCCGCCGCCAGCTCCCTCCTTGTCCTCCGCCCCTGTCCCAGTCCCCGCCCCATTCTTCCGCCGCCACTGCACAACAGACAAGGGCTGGACCTAAACGGTGTTGTTGGTGATGTCGTGGGCCGTTTTCGTTTCGACGTCGTTTTGCGATAAAGGCGGATTCGAAACAAAAGCGAGGGAACACGAACACAAAACGAAAACGAAAAACACCGTTTACGTTCATCCTTGCACCAGAAATGCTGCTCTTCTCTGCACCCGAAGCTGCCGACTAGGCAGAACGCCCCCCTCCGCGCATCGTTCTGACGCGCTGGATCCCTCACAGTTGGTCGATCCCATGCGTTTTCCAAACCGAACGTTCTCGGTCCTTCCAGAATGGCGCTCCCGCTCCAGCGTTGGCTTCATGTTCGCGCTCTCGGTCATTCCAAATCATACTCCCGCTGCAGCGCTGACATCATTTCAGTGTCTCGGTTCTTCCAAATCGTGCTCCCGCTTAAGCATGGGCCTCATGTTGGCATCGGCACTAGGCTCCCGTCGTTCAGACTGGGGCTCTCGCCCAAGCGCGGGCCACGTTTCTGGATCCGAATAGCTGTTCCCTGTTGTCGCCACGCTCATTTCCCCTCCTGCGCCTTCCCCTGGTCCTCCTGTTCCTCCCGCGCCTTCCACTTCAATTCCTGCTGCTGCTGTTCGTCCTCGTCCGCTTCCTCCCGCTCACCCTCCTGCTCGCCCGCCACCTTATTCTCCTGTTTACGCAGCTCCCATTTCTTCTGGTTGCGCATAACACGATGTGGTGGCCTTTTGGCTGAAGATGCAGGTCGTCTCAAACACGCATGCGCGGATAGGGAACACATCGCGAAATGGGAAGAGATGGGGAGGGATACGATGTCAGATGAGGTGCGAGCGCACCTAGCTTGCCCTCCTCCTCCTCCTCCTGTGTCCCCCCTCCCCCCCTCCTTGTGCCCTCAAGCCGCCCGAGCCCCATGGATCTGGCCTCGTTGCGAACTTCTGCCTTGGCGCAAGTCCCGACGCTCAGTATGCCCGGCTGGGGCCAGGCCTGAGGCTTGAGGACGTGGACCGTGGTGCAAGCTCGGGTTGGACCGTGGCGAAACGCCGCGCTCGCGCACCGACCGCGCGGACGGGGGTCCCGAATGCTGCGGCGCGGCCGTGTCCCGTCGGCGCCGATGTCCAGCGTGCCGGGAAGCAGGCGCACAGGCAGCCCGTGTGCTGGTCCAGGCGCAGTATGTGTTGCGCCTGCAGGAGGCGGCGCAGGAGGGTATCGTGAACAAATTACTCTTGTGGCTGGAGCCTGACGCACCCCCGCTGAGGGTCGTGATGGCGTTCTTCATCGGCGACGCCGATGCGGAGGGCGACAGGGATCGCGTGGAGCACGACCAGGTGGACGCGTGGATCACCGAACCCGACGCGAAGATCGTGACATGCTCCGACGGGGTGAAAACGTGTATGGACCAGCGGAGCCTTGGCGGGTTCGCCGAGGTTCCCAACGTGACTAAGCTGGACATCAGCGTGGTGGCCGACCTGGCGCTGCCCGTGTTCCCTCCCTTTTTGGTCCTCGCCGTGCTGGCGGGCTCGACGTCCGACACGGGCGTGGACATCACCAAGCGCTGGGTGAATCTTGTCGACGCCGTGACCCTCATGGCGGCGCCTCTGAAACTCCTGAGCGAGGGCCAGCGCGCGCAGGAGAGGGCACTGAGCTTCTACGGCGATTCCAACGGCACGCCGGAGGCGCATGGCCTCGTGTAGGGGAAGAGGAAAATTCGTTCTGCGTGGAGGGGCTCATCGAATAATTCTCGCCCGAACTCACCCTGGCGGGGCTCATTGAGGGCTCCGCGATGCAGGCGGGAGGCGGGGCCGAGGCTGAGGCAGGCCTGGACGAGAAATTCCAAGCGAGAGCTCCCGCGAGGAGCAGGCTTGCGCTGCAGGCCGTGAAGGGCGCCGTACTCGGTGTGCTCAAGGACGAGAAGGTCCAGGCGCGTCCGGCGGCTTCGGCGATGGCGACGATCCACTGTCCGACATGGAGATGGAGGAGAGGAGACCATGCGGAGCCTCTGGACTGTCGCGGTGCACGCGATCACAGGCGACGCGCCGGTCGACAAGAAGTGGGGAAGCCCGTGAAGCAGACACAGAAGTAGCTGAGGTACGAATACGAACAATCCGAGGAGAACTCCAGAACCACTCTGGCCTTCCGCCCCCTCTCCGCGTCTCTCCGTCAAGACGACCCTGGAAGCCAGAGGAGTGGCGACGCGAAATCCTCGACGTCCTGTTTAAGCTGGGGGCCACTTGCCACAGCGCCTCCATCACCGCCACCTTCCCCAGCTGGTGGACCAGCTTGGCGACTGGGCGGAGGGACGGGAAGAAGGACGCAACCTCTCCGAGGTCCTCGCTCGCGCGCCTGATCATCGCCATCCCTGACCGCCTGAGGGGGGCTGCGCGGCTCCGCGGCACTGGCCGCTGGCTTCGTGGAACATGCGGGTGCGCGCAATGGGCGGCGCATGAGGTGCCGCCCTCCCCCTCCTCCTCCTCCTCCTCCTCCCCCTCCTCCTCCTCCTCCTCCTCCTCCTCCTCCTCCTCCTCCTCCTCCTCCTCCTCCCTCCTCCTCCTCCTCCTCCTCCTCCTCCTCCTCCTCCTCCTCCTCCTCCTCCTCCTCCTCCTCCTCCTCCTCCTCCTCCTCCTCCTCCTCCTGCCTCCTCCTCCCCCTCCTCCTCCTCCTCCTCCCCCTCCTCCTCCTCCTCCTTTTCCCCGTCCTCCTCCCAGCTGTGCGCTGTGTAGGTCTGCACAGGACGTGTAGCCGCCTGGGGCAGCGTGGACGTGCTGCAGGGCGCGAGGATGAATCCTGTGATCCGTGGGGGGGCACCCCGTCTGGGAGCTGCATGCCCATGTGGTTTAGGGTAGTCAGCTCCTAGGCCCTAGGCCAAGTCCCGGTTTTCGAGGGGGGGGGAGGTGGTTCGAACCGGTAATGACCCCCCCCCCTTTCATGATGGACCTGGCGGGGGGAGGGGTTCGAACCGGCAGTGACCCCCCCCGCGGTTTTCGAGGGGGGTGGTGGGGGGGACGGGTTGGGAACCCCCAGTGACCCCCCTGGGTTTTCCGCCAGCAGCGGTAGAACACGCTCTTTCACATCTCTCTCAGGCCAGGTGGTGTTGTTGCGTCTCAGGGGGGCATGCTGCGGGCCTCGGGACTTACCAAAACAATTCCAATAACGATTCCTTTCACCCCTCCCCCGTTACCAACACAATTCCAAACGATTCCCCCCCCCTTCTGGAAGGAGGAGGAGGAGGAGGAGGAGGAGGAGGAGGAGGCTCGAGGAGAGGATTCTTGACGCGAAGGCAACGCGTCCTGCAGGACGCGGGCTCTGGACCCTGGGCCCTCCCCCCGAACACCACACGTCCACCTCGCGCCGTTTCTGCTCAGCGGCCCTACTGGCCATCGCTCGGACGTCCATGTTCTGTGTTTTTGTTCGGTTTCGTGCGTGGTTTTTCCGCGAAATGATCAGGGATGCTCCTCGATGGTCCTCGCCGAAGAAAGCATGCACACGCCCGAGCGATGCCAAGCCTAAGGCCCTCTGAGGCCCCGTGAGGCCGAAGACGGCCCAGAGCCTCCAGGACCCGCTTCCGCGCGTGACCCCCCTGCGCCACAGCGAAACTGGGAAACCAAGAGGTACCGACACCGCTGCTCCCCGGACCTCTCCCGGGGGGACTCGGGACCAGAATCTGGGGGCGAATGCGGCGGTGGCGACGGGGGCCCCCCAGGAGGCCCAGAAAGGGGAAGACGAGGCGAGGGCGTGGGTGCCTTTCGGTCGGGCACGTCCCCCTACAGGTGGATTTTGGACGAAACTGGAGCATGTGCCAAAACATGCTTAAATATAGCTAGGGATACTAAAGAAAAATCGTCCCCAGACGATTTTTTTACTATTTTTGAATCACCCTCCTGTAGAGGGACATGCCCGACGTGAGGGCGCCGCTTCCTCCTCTGAGTGGCCATCGCGGCGAGTGGAGGCGGCAAGGCAGGGCGAGCGCCTCCAGCTCCCGGCACCGGGCCTCCAGGAGCTCCGGGTCGTGGCAGCGCTGCGCGCCGCTGCCGATCTCCTGGGGCGCCGACAGCGCGGAGGCGGGGAGGGCGCCAGGGACACACAGATGAAGATGCACAGAGCCCAGGATTCCCCACACCTTTCCAGATGCTCTGGGCTTTCGTGCTCCCCTTCCCGAATCTTCCCGTCTGTTCCTGGGGGGTCGACGACTCTTCGTGTCTGTGTGCTTGTTACCCTCCCGAAGGCGGGAGGGCGGCGGCGGGAAGGTCCCTCGCCACCGCCCCCAGGAGTGCATGCCACGACTCGCGAGCGACGAGCATGCGCTTGGCGTCGCAAAGACAGCGTGCGCCATCGATTTCTGAAGGGCACGCTGACCCTGTGATAGGGGATCCCCCCGTGCGGGTCCCTTTTGCGAGCGCTATCCCCCTGCGAGGACCTCGCTGGAGCACGCCGCCCCCCGGCCCCTGGCCATGGCCTTCTCCGGGCACGCCATTCCCAAGGTGGGGGGCAGCGTGTAACGAGCGGGCCTGCGGAGCCACATCGCACGCTATCGTTGCAACGCCAACGGTATCCACATGCATGCCCCCGTGGTCCCGCGAACCGTGGGATGTAGACCACGCCCTGTACCTGTGGGGTCGTGGCCGAGGAATGTAGACCACGAGGCAGTGGAGACGGGTATCCAGAAGTGAAACAAATAGTAATACTAGTACAGGAGAAACAGTAAGAGCAATAGTCGTAGACGTGGTTTTGATGGTCGTAGTGGTAGTGGTCGTAGCAATCGTAGCAGTAGGGATACTAGTAAACATATGAGCAGGTGGTCGTAATCATGATGCAAGAGCACTAGTAATAATACTAGTCGCAGCAATCGAGACTTCATTACCTGTAAAAGTAGCAGGAGAAGCAATAATCGTAGCAGTAGTAGTAAGTCGTAGTAGTAGTAGTAGTAGTAGTAGTAGTAGTAGTAGTAGTAGTAGAAATAACAGTAATAGTAACAGACATCGTAGTAGTAGTAATAGTAGTAGTAGTAGTAGTAGTAGAAATAATAGTAGTAGTCGTAGTCGTAGTAGTAGTAGTAGTAGTAGTAGTCGTAGTCGTAGTCGTAGTCGTAGAAGTAGTAGTAGTAGTAGTAGTAGTAGTAGTAGTAGTAGTAGTAGTAGTAGTAGTACTGGTAGCCGTAGTAGTGCTACGAGTCGTAGTAACAGTGATATGCAAAAGCATGACACTAACGATTGCAATTGCAACAATAGGAGCACTAGAAACAATGCGGGTATCATTAGAACTATGTCTTGGTAAGACTACTGCGAATCATCTCGATACGACTTAGTAGTAGTAGTAGTAGTAGTAGAAGTAGTAGTAGTAGTAATAGTAGAAAAAGTAGTAGTAGTAGTAGTAGTAGTAGTAGTAGTCGTAGTAGTAGCAGTAGTAGTAAGAGAAGTAGCAACAGTAGTAGTAGTAGTAGTAGTAGTATTAGTAGTAATAGTAGTAGTAGTAGTGGTGGTGGTGGTGGTGGTGGTGGTAGTAGTAGTAGTAGTAGTAGTAGTAGTAGTAGTAGTAGTAGTGGTAGTGGTCGTAGTAGTAGTAGTAGTAGTAGTAGTAGTAGTAGTAGTAGTAGTAGTAGTAGTAGTCGTAGTAGTCGTATTCGTAGTAGTGTAGTCGTAGTAGTGTAGTAGTACCAGTAGTAGTAGTAGTAGTAGTAGTAGTAGTAGTAGTAGTAGTGGTAGTGGTAGTGGTAGTGGTAGTGGTAGTAGGTAGTAGTAGTAGTAGTAGTAGTAGTAGTAGTAGTAGTAGTAGTAGTAGTAGTAGTGTAGTAGTCAGTAGTAGTAGTAGTAGTAGTAGTAGTAGTGTAGTAGTAGTAGTAGTAGTAGTAGTAGTAGTAGTAGTAGTAGTAGTAGTAGTAGTAGTAGTAGTAGTAGTAGTAGTAGTAGTAGTAGTAGTAGTAGTAGTAGTAGTAGTAGTAGTAGTAGTAGTAGTAGTAGTAGTAGTAGTAGTAGTAGTAGTAGTAGTAGTAGTAGCAGTAATAGTACTAGTAGTAGTAGTAGTAGGGGTGCACATGGTCTTCGTGTCGCTACAAACCTCACCTTCGTGTACTCTTCTTTAGTATCAGGCCTAATAGAACTCCTACAAGGGGAATTACGAAAACCGTAGTTTCAAACCTGGCTTTCGTGTCTTTCGCGCCAATGCCTACCTTCGTGCACTATTCGCTGTAGAGGTTGTAGATTGGATTCGCGTTAGAAAGTAAACAAAAACGGCAGTTTCACACCTGTCCTTCGTGTCGACGTCGAATTTGGAGCAACCGCCACTGCCAGCAACTTCATTTCGGCACAACCCTCTCGAAGATCGTGGGCCTGGCCCTCCGACGCGCGATTCCGGCGCGCACTTCACTAGGATCGTGGCCCTGGTCCAATTGGGAGCGCTGCCGAAGGCCCACCGACGTCCAATTCCGACACGCCGCTCACGAGGATCGTGTCCTGGCCCACCTGGGAGCGCTGCCGACGGCCCACCGGTAAGCAATATCGGCGCACCGCTCACACGGATCGTAGACCTCGCCACATTTGGATCACCGCCCGACGCTGGAGTTCGGCACGCCTCTCACATGGATCGCGGCCCTGGCCCACTGTGGAGCGCTGCCGACGGCCCACCGACGCCCAATGCGGGAACACCCCTCACGAGGATCGTGGCTCCTGGTCCACTTGAGAGTGGGTTGTCATAAGGACGT